CTCTCTCTCTCTCTCTCTCTCTCTCTCTCTCTCTCTCTCTCTCTCTCTCTCTGTCCTCGCTCATTTACCTTCGGCCTCTCGATCCCTCTTTCTTTTGCTTTCCTTGCGACCCCGAAAGAAAGACATGTTCGACATTTGACGCGTCAAATGAATTAGGCGCTTTGCACCATGGGATGATCAGTTGAAGAACTACCTCGGGGGCTGCCCTGTAGATTTTCCCTCTTACACCAATCTCACACCAACAAGTCTTCTACCACCTCCACTTGTGTACAGGAGTACGTCGGGAAAGCCGGTGATGTTTTGGACGACGTGTTTTTCGTGGTGACCGGCAGGATCGAGGCGAGGGCGACCAAGCCAGGGAAGCAGGTAACGCGACGTGCGCACTGACGCTCGTTAGTCGGCAACCTTCTCAACTGCCACGTATCTTTGTGTGTATCCTACAGTGGAATCGCAGAAAGACGTTCCTCTCCGACGCTTCCCTCAAGGCGGGCGGTGGCTTGAGTGCGCTGGTTTGCGAGCAAGTGTCTGGCCTCTCTTCTTGCTCTGTCCCCAGGGGTAACTTTCGCTAATCTTAGAGAACTCGTGACTCGGATTTGGTGTCACTGCAAGTGTTGTTACAGTAGCACCACCAATGAGGGGGGAGGTAGACCCGTAAGCGATCTATCCTGAGGGCTTCAGGGTGGGAATTCCGCAGACAAGCGGCGACATGGCACTGCTCTCTGTGCTGTCAATATCCCGGCAGTCTGGAAACCGATGCTGATCTCTACCTCTACCTGGCACATTTGCCATCATCGTCCGTGCTGATTTCAAACGCATAGGCTAGAGGGTGTAACACTGTAGAAAAGTCGAATACAATACACTGAATTGTGGACCTTCTCTCGCAATTCTGTCCGAGACCCACCGCACATGCCACGAGGATGTTCTTTCATGTTCACTGAACCACTTTCAGGGAATGTCTTTGTCACGATTTGAGACTATAGGCGAGCGTTCGATCGTCTTGGGTAAACCAGTTCACGAAGAGCTAGTACTTCTACAGAATAAAGTAACGTTCGTTGCAAGCTGTCTTTCTTGCATCACGAAGTGAAGTTTTTCGATTGTTGAATCATGGCCAAAACGATATCGCTTGAAAGAGAATAATGGAAAGGATTCGAACACGTACAGTATTCGATCAGCGAAAACTTCCCCGATTGTTTGCTTTGTCCCACATGTTTCCTTAACTCAAAAACCCTGCGAAGGCCACTGGAAATATTCGACTCGGCCCCACAGGGGAGGGACCTCGAACACTCCACCTTCAGCAACCACGCCGACCAATGAATGCTTCAGTACCTGTTCGAATACCAAGGCTTGCTTACATGCAGTCAAAACCATGCTCCTCGCGTAACTTGAATGGCACCAAGGTTCTGGTGGCGCTTCACCGAGAGGGTTCTGACTTCGAGCTCAGCAGCCTCGTGCGCTGCGACCCTATGCAATTCACCTACCGGGCAGGTGGGGTGATCAAGAAAAACAACGTTCTAGATCGAACGTCAGTATAAGCAGCACGTGGACTACACTTCCCTCGATATTCACCACAGTCTCGAAGGGCTGCTGGTAGCACGCCCCATCATGCACGAAGCACGTTTCTCCGATGTTGGTTAGGATTATTGATGAAGGTGCTGCTCCTTGGGCATTGTCTGGGGTATGGCTCACCTTGTGCGTTAGTCACTTGACTCTGTTCCCTTCCGGGGCGTGTCCAAGGCCTACCCCGCCTGCTGGATATTTGAGCTTATAGTTCGAGGCGTTGGAAGCTCGTGGTGCGTCGCCAATATTGGGGTTTTGTCATGATCATTCTACCTGCATTCTATGTTCAGTGTGAGCCACATGATTTTCTTGCGTGTGGTTTCGGAAAATCGACTACATTACTTCGTTTGAAGAGAGGGGCACAGGAGATACCGCTTCGAGGCCAGAACGGGATCCAATGCGCAGACAATGATAGCAATGACAACGGCAACCGCTTGGCCAGAACTGGGGCTGGGGGGAAATGCCTTACTTGGTGTCAGAGGACTGCTGTGTAGTTTCGGAGTGCGAGCGACGCTTCTTAAATGGGATGACGAAAGTTTGTGCGCTGACGGTGTGACGCTGTTGAGGTGGATGAAGCAATCGAACTCATGCTATACATGGGTGTGTAAAAAGGGCCATGGCGGATAGGACAATTGTTTTAATGTGAAGACGTCACGCCGATACACATCATATGATCTCCTCGCCAGTAAGAAAGCAAACGAATAACGCCTACTTCTTCGTTGGCAGTGACCCAGTCAGAGCTCATGTGGCTCGACGTGAATGATCTGCAAAACATCGCTGCGGAATACAAGACGGCGGAGAACACCATCATAGACAAGGTACACGGTTAGAGAGGGCAAGCCGTTAGCAATGAAACGGAGCAGCAAGAGATCCATATTATTGAGGCACAACACGTTGACAATACTGTGGTATCAAATATAGGTGCTACAAGGGATTGACAAAGACCATCAGGCGGCAGATGTTACCACCGAAAGACTGCTTCTTTTTTGTGCTACATTGAAAGTGTCTTTGGAAGGGTGCAACATGCGCTAAAACCAGATTCAGCCTACAACTTTAGCAAGAACTCCAACATAACGTCTTTGCACTAGGCGCACCCGTGGACCAATCAGACCCCCAACATCGGGCCACTTTCGGCTGGAACCAAACGCAGGCGGAGAGGCAGGGTGCGCTCCTAGAGGAATGCCTTTGTCTAGAGGAAACCTGCGACGGCTCTGACCACCGACAGGCACAGGTGCGTCATGTTTCAATGACGAATGGACAGCATTCGCCGGTGTAGCACTAGGAAGGTATGCCGGAATGGTCTGCAAGTTGGACGGAATCGATCTGCTGCATCGAATCAGCCGCATATTTATGCATCTCAAATTTAACGCACCCCTGCTTATTTCCCACGCAGGGGATTCATTGCGCAAGAAGAATTGTTGTGTGTACTTACATCGGAGGAAAATTTTTAAGTCCAGGGAGGAGTACGTAGCACCAAGAGTCTAGACCACAATGCAAGAAGGGAAAGGCTCTGAAGGTGCCGCAAAACAATATCAACAACATCTTCAAGAGGAGCGCTCATGTGTGTCAGGTGCTGGTGGACTGGACCCTTGTTCCGGCAGCGAGCATACCAGAACTTATGGGGAACGGTCTGGCAAGTATCGTGCTGGACGCCAATCGGCCGGAAGACGCCGACGACAGCGCCACACTGATTCGCACACTTCGCCCGATCAAAGAGGTCTGTCTGCCTTTCCCTACCCAATGTCTGACCCTATCTACTACGTAAAAAGCCGCTATAAATACCGAATCCTCGACTGGTCAGTCACCTAGAAAGTGAGCGGCCATCAAAGGTAGTTATGTCGGCACATTTATATTATGGGTTTATGGGCTTCGATCCTGTGGGTTGGGGATTAGGGTGGGTCGGAAGTATTAACAGGAATCGTGTTGTTGGTAGGGTTAGGATTAGGGCTGGTCCTACCTAACCCTACTCCATCATAGCGAGTTTGGTCATACGCGAGCGCACACTACCCTCGAAGGTGGATTGACCTGCAGTGCGGTGTACTTTCTGCTTCGTTTTGTAAACCACAGTTTGCAAGCCGCCAAAAACTGCTAGATCTGGGGTGTCCTTCCCATTCATACCATTGTGGCGTGGTAGATAGCGGTTGGGGGGAGGGGAACTCGGCCACCCTTTCCTTTGGTTCTTCTCTTGAGACAAGGAATAAGAAAGAAATAACGCCCACCCTTGACGGGGCTCCGTACGTGTTTCTTCCGAGTTCTTGCGGTGAAGGCGCAATAATGCCGGCCCTTGTTCCCGCAATGTACCACCAGCCAAACAACGACAAAAGCCTCCCCATACTCCCCCACGCCGTTTCTGGTCGTCTACCAACACGAGCAGAAGGGTGGGCCAAAAGACGGCGCAGGCGGTGGCGGGTTTGCCATTAATCCTCTCCAAACCTTGTCTGCCATGGCCGCGTGGGTCGCGACCGCAGACGGGGGCAACGGAAAGGGGAGTGGCGGCGATCAGGGTAGCTTCGTCGGGCAAGAATGGGGAGACGAGGGGCATAAGAAAAGCAGTAGTACCGCCGCGTTGTCGAGGGTGGGCAGCGTTGGTCCCGGTCCGGGAAGGGGAGGCGGTGGGTCAGTGGGCGGAGTGGAGGCGGCGAATAAAAAGCGGAGGTCTGCTGGAGAGGTGGTGGAAGAGGAGGAGCGTAAAGAGCGGACACCCCCTCACATGGTATGTCTGCACATAATGTTGTACCAGCTGCCCGCGACTCTGCGTCGGTATTGTACATTTGCTGATGTACGTTTCTTGAATGACGCATGCGGGAAACAAATGATAATTGCAGGAGGAAGCCCTAGAGACGGCGGACTGTGTGGCCAGGCGATGGGTCGTCCTTCCAAACGCTGGTTGGAAGCAGAAATGGGACACGTGAGTCTTGGACACCACCACGACCGCAACGATTGTTGAGGCTGGACTTTGGTTGGTTGGGGGTTGGCTGGAGAAGTTTGGGGAAATGTAAATATGTTGCGATCAGGACGTTAAACCCGCTCAAGGCCACCACCGTTCGACGTCAATCATGTCGCCTCTCAAGTGCAAACGGGCGCTCTTCTATCTAGCGGTGCGACGCAGTGGGTACAAAAAGAGGGGGGCACCACAAACCATGTACAGAGCTTGTCATGCCTTTGGCGTCCGTTCGGATTGGACGGCCACCTTCACCGTAACTTCAACGCCGCCTTTCTTATCCTTCTGTTGCGCCACTCTTATCGTAGGTTTGGAGCATTCCTGATAGCCCTCAGTGTTATCACCGTCCCGTTTCGTATCGGCTTCGACGCACTCCCGGAGGGGGGCTGGGTGGTGGTGGACTGGGTGACGGACTGCACCTTTGCCATAGACATCGTCCTAAACTTTAGGATGGCCTACGTGAACGGTCATGTTTTAGTGACATCCCCGAGCCTGATGGCGTCTCACTACCTCCGCGGGTGGTTCACCACGGACTTCTTGTCCACGGTACCGTTCGACAGGCAAGCAAGACAGAGAAGAGGGAGGGTGGTGTGGAGACCCTTTCGAAGCATAGGTATCCACACATAGTCCTCCATCAAGTCTTTGTTTGTGGTATGCATATTTGATCTTCGCGACCTAATCCAGAGTACTGCTACCACTGACAGCAACGCTTGTATCCGAGGGGATAGACTACAGTACGTTTTTTTGTGATCCCGCCGACGGGGGAAACCCACACTCGATGTGGTCCTCTGGGTGTACCGTACCATATTCCGCACCGCACAGCTCACAAAGTGACGCTCTTCTCCTTTCTCTCATCCCGTCGTACCGCTGACAATGATTGCGACAGGATTATGTCGCTGGCAGGAGACGACAACTCAACGGTGTTTCGATCTCTAAAGCTTGTGAAGGTGGTGCGGATAGTCAGACTGTTGAGGCTGTTCCGACTATTCAAGATGGCCAGATTCCGGCTAATAACAGAGGAGTTTTTGGAGGTAAGACGCTGTCGTTGTTGTCGTAGTCATTGCCGTCGCCATTGCCATTGTCGATATAGGTGAAATATCATCTTCTTTTCTTGGTGCTTTTTGTGGAGGCCTTGCTACTGCTGCACTCAATGGGGCAGTTTCTATGGGTGTATGTTTTGTGCCCTCTGCAGCAAGTTTTGGACTGATTTCGCTTTGGCATCGATGGAGTGATACGTAAGACTGTCATGTATCGACAAGGAACGACAGCTTGAAAGGCTCGACGATTCAAGGCTCTTAGCCCTCCTCAAAGCGATCTGCTGTCGCTCTTATCCGAGAGAATAAATTGTTGTTTGGTCCTGATACTAGGATAATTCTGGGACAGCGGATCACCTGGTAATTTGATAAATTACCGTGTACGAACCCTCCTTTGGTCGGCTTTCGTGGGACCTTTAGGATGGGAAGGCACTACGGAAACGATGAAGGCTTCCAAAATCCGCCCTGATTGACGTGTCTTCAAGAATGCACCCTCCAGTCCTCTGCCGGGGTCTCACGAAGCCTTCGTTGCTTGAAAGGTCTTGGTTGATTGTAGGATCGTTGATGGACGCTTTTCGTTGCTGCTATCCGGACACAAACCAGTTGCATGATGTCCTATTCCGGGGTCTCAAGCTGGTGCTAACGCTGGCCCTTCTGGGACACTCATTCGGCTGCTTCTGGAGTTTCGTGAGCCTGTCCGAAGAGACTAGCGATGACGACATAGACGGTGCGGCGCCCTCAACATGGTGGGAGAGTCTGGGGTTGCAGCCGGAAAACCTGACGGGCCGGTACATCGCCTCAATTTACTGGGCTTTCACCACGATGACCACCGTAGGGTAAGTTGTTGCGCTGGAGTAGGGTACGAGTTATGCTGCTAAGGAACGACAGGACATTCTGTCAGCGCAATTCACGATGCAGCCTCCTGTTCAGTGGGCGCACTAGCGAGCGGTTCGCACTCGTATCTAACTTGAGATACGTCGAACCAACGCAGAAGAACGTATCAAACTGGCACATGAACATAAGTACCTCGATTTTTGCGGCACATCGACTGTACGATGGACTCGGCCATCGGTGCAGCCTGCTTGCATTTTGACTGCGAAAACATGAATGGTGTTGCCAGAATTACCATACCTGTGCGACCAACGCCAAGCACCTTCGTCAACCAAGGGAGAAATCGTTGCCGCTACAGTATTGGCCATGAGCGCTCAGTAAGAAAAAACGAGGTGCATGTTTGTATAGGTGGAACAATCACTACTTCGAGCAGGGTAGACGATACTGGTATCGATCTCACTCTCCAGAAGAACGCACCATTGAGATCGATATCAAAAACAACATGGAAACTCAGGTACGGAGACATCCTTCCTGTCGTAGACCAAGAGCGTGCCTACGCGACCATCATTATGGTTATCGGGGCGACCGTCTTCGGGTATATCGTCGGCAGCGTCAGCGCGCTAGCCAGCAACCCCAATGGCAGCCAGGCGAGGGAAACGGTCAAAATCCTGGCCGTCTCCAACTACCTGGGCGAGAAAAAGGTTCAGCAAAAGCTCAGACAGGCAAGACCAGGCACCTTCCTTCACAACCTAGTCGCCCGAAACTTTGCATCGAATTGCGTTGCTCACCATTTGTTGCACGGCAGGTACCGGACGTTTCTTGTACACCATACTCGCTGGAGAGAGCATGACCTTGATGTCATACATTTCATGGTCAACGGAAAAAAGCCTATATCTACCAGACACGTTTGGATGGAACCGTTGTTAAATTGGGGTTTGCTGCATTGCTATTGGTGTCTTTACATTTATAACCGTTCCGGTCTCCGCTCAGTACCTTCACGCAGCGTGTAAACACGAAAAATGCGCAGGCGGTAAAGAAGCACGTGGAGTTCTATCTTCAGCACAAAACCCCTTTTCACGAAGAAGACCTACACACGCTCATGCCCCCGAGCCTGCGACAGGAGTCCGTGCTTCAGGTCCACAAGGTGAAAGAAAGCGATTAGATAGAAAATTGCGCAACGGCTTGATTTACAGCAAGTAAATCCTTGACATGTTTTCGCGGTGACGCGGTTGTTGTCCCCAGGGCGAGATGCGCTGCATTTGTGGAGATAGCCCGAAGGAGGTGTGCATGTATTCCTACCCGTAGGTCGGCAAAAGTGACCTACAGCATTCCCGAACGGTAACAACGTGAATAGCAACATGACATCGTCCCACACTATCTCAACGTGTGGAATCTGTGTAACACGCACGTTGTTCCTTGTGATTTCATTTACAGCACGGCTATTTGGGACAACGTTGTCCCAAATTTTTATTTGGGACAAC